CTTTTCACTCAGGGATCTCAGAATATTTCATACACATGAATTTGTTATCGGTCTACCAACAGAAAGCTTCTCCCCCTTGACCCAGGCTGCTGGGAAGGAAATAGGCGTTCGTACGTCTACCCAATAGTTGTTTTTTTATTATTGTTTCTTTTACTGTGGTAAGATACACATCGCATAGAATTCGCCGTCTTGACATTGAAGTGTTCAGTAGCATTAAGTGCATTCTCATTGCACGGCAACCATCTCCACCATCCTTCTCCAGAATGCTTTTCTTCTTCCCAAACTGAAACTCCGGACCCATTAAACACCAACTCTACATTCCTTTTCCCTCAGCCCCTGGCAACCCCTTTCTACTTTCCGTCTCTGTGAATTTGACCATTCGAGATCTCGTATAAGTGGAATCACGCAACGTTTGTCTTTTTCTGACCGGCTTATTTCACGTAGCGTAATGTTTTCAAGGTTCATCCATGTGGTAGTTTGGGTCAGAATTTCCCTCCTTTTTAAGGCTGAATAATATTCAATTGTATGTATATCCCACATTTTATTTATCCATTCATCTGTCCACGGACACTTGGGTCGCTTCTACCTTTGGGCTATTGTGAATAATATTGCTGTGAACATTGGTGTGCAAGTTCAAGTCCCTGCTTTCCATTCTTTGGGGGTAGCTACCCAGAAGTAGAATGACCAGATCATACGGTAAATTCTAAGTTTAACTTTTTGAGGATCTGCCAAACTGCCCAATAGGTTTTTGCATAACGCCGACAGAACGCGCCGGGAAGACTACCCTACCCGAAGCCCCCCACCCATTCTCCCCCAGCACAGTGTAAGTACACACAGGGGTCCTGAGAGGTGGTGGAGCTCCTGCCTCTAGAAGCAGTGAGGGAGCTATTGCAGCTGCATCAGTCAGCACCTCTCCTGGAGTCCAGTGGCCACAGGGGACAGACCTCACTTGTTTGTGGTCCCCGAGACCATCCATCACTAGGATACAGTCATCTCTAGATAGGTCACATTGCCGTCTGATTTGTTCTCCAGGCAGAAGCCCCTGCCCCATGACTTTCTTTTTTCACCTCTTCCTGTGGTCGGAATTCCCTCACTCAGCTAATTGGCACGCCTGGCACTGTAGCGTAAGACTTTAATCAGAATTGGGTGGTTTCAGTTAATTGTGTGGCTCTGCATCTGGAGTGGTTTGTGTTCCAGGGTCAGGAGAGGAGCCGGCTTTGCTTGGTGTAAGGCGTGGGTGGAGGATCTAGGTATCTGGGGAGAGAGAATCACAGCGCCAAGGTGGCTCCGAATCCATCTGGCCACCTGTGCAGCTTACCAGCAAGGTGTGGAAGGTAAGCAGAGCCATTCGGGTAAAGAATTGCACCCAGATAAATGATGGGGTGAATCTAATTTTCAAAAGTGATTTAAAGTGTCAGGCAAATTTCTGATGCTTTCCAGAATTACACGCGGGATGGGGAGTGAGGCAAAGCAATGATGTAGATTGGGAGATTTGGGGTCAGTCTGGGCGAGCGTGGCCATGCTGGAGAATACTGTCTGATGGTGGGACTTTGGATATTTCCCTGGGCCTGGTTTTCTTTGGGAAAGTCCTGGAAAGGTGAAGGGGTGGGTGGCACTCAGCTTTCAAATGATGGTAACCCTTCTACATGGACTGTCAGAATCCTGGCGGTTTCCCGGTTTTAGCATCCATGCTTTGAAAAGAATGGAGAAAACCTAGATAAATTTCAGAAGACTAATAAAAAATGACTGAACATACAGATAGAAAGAGCCTATAAGAAAAGGTGAAAGGAAGTTGGGTAGCATAATAACTTCCCCGGACTTATGTCCCTGTCCAACAGGGATCCACCCTGATGAAAAGCAAAGAAAAGTAGGTTTTACCAACTGTAGGTGGTAAAAGCCCTGAATAAGTCTAGGAAGCTGGGCCAAGAGGAAGCAGTGAATGGTTTAGGGGCAGACATCCCAGTTCAAGGAGGAAATGATGTGATCAAGGTAATAAAGGAGAAAAGCTCTTCCAGGCATTGAACTCCTGACCAAGCTCACGAGGCCTCGGAAGAGCAGTTTGGGGTGACGAGGGGGAGAGGTAAAGCGGCAATGCAAGGAAGAATGGGTATTAATGACAAAGATGACAATAAGAGTTAACTGTCACTTGCAATGTGCTTGACCATTTACAAAGCTGTTTCAAACCTCTTGGGTCATCTGTGCTTTGGGAAACTCTGTGAATTAAGGGGGATTTTTATCTCCATGTTGAAAGATGAGAAAAAATGGGACTCAGAGACAATAGGATCTCATTGCCAGTAAATGGTGAAGTCAGAATTTGAACCCAGCTCTGCAGGCTCCTACTCTGTTTCCAACCAAATGAAAATGACTCTTGTTTAAAATCGAGAGACGAAGGACTTTACAGTTCCAGGTATTGGCATTATTAAATGCCAGTTGCAAGATATTTTTAGAAATCTGAATGCAAAGGCTTTGGAGAAGATCAGGTTCAGCAAGCAGTTGGCTCTTTTTGTGTTGTACACCCCAGAACCCCATGGCACAGCCATCGGAGACAGATTATAGAACATGTCACTGGGAGAAACCAGGGAGGATATTAAGTTCAGACCAAGAAAATGCTTTTGCTTGAACAAGCCATGATTTCCTCTTTAAGCCTGTGCAAAATATGGAGTGCTAGACAAGCAGCCGGAACATATGAAAACATTATTATGTACTTATGTTACCAACTTTCATCATCTTTGGCCCCTTTTATTACTTTTTTCAGCTCTAGGCATCAAGTTTTGAAAGATTTTTGCCTACTAAACAAACTGTATTTATTAAGTAATAATATATGTCCTATTTTTAGTATGGGAAATACATCACAGAGTATGCAAACCAACAGAAGATAGCAACAATCCAATTTTCATTAGGCTTTTGGAAATATTGAAAGTAACTGTGGACCTCGTTACCACTCATGAATTCCTAGGAGTCCAGCTACTTTGGGCACCATTATTTATATGCTCACATGACCAGTGTGTCTATGCCCATTTAAGGGGTAGGGAAGGCAATTAAAGAGGCAACAGGAGGAGGGTCAGTTCCTGACTGTGTGTAGAGTCGGTGGGGTGGGGGGGGTAATTTGCAAGAGTCTGATTGTCAGGACCAATTACAAAAACGGGAAGGTGGTATGTCGGCAGAGCCAAGGCATGGCCCAGGCTGATTGCATGAGCAGTAATAAAAGGAAAGATAAAATTCCAAATGTGCAAAAAGACATCTGAGAATGTGGAGAAAGGGCCACCAAGGCCAAGGGCAAAGCTATAGGAACAGGAGCAGGAAGCTAAAAGGTACCTTGGAAAAAGTAAAAATACACGGTGGTCATTGAGATCACTCGATGGGCACTTGAGAAAACAGAAAAGATATATAAAGGGAAGAAGAAAATTAAGGTGGAAAGGAAAAAGGAATCATGTGGGATTTGAAAATAATAATTAATTCTTAATTAATTCCAAAAGAGAGCTTCGAGACTAATTGAGCAGACTCTGGTGCCAGTTCGCCTGTGCACGAGTTACAAGTAGCCCCTGCCAAGTGGTACATAATTTTATGGAGGCAGACCACGAAGCAGCAGGGAAAACACGGCCTCTGCATTTGCTCATGAAGCACAGAGGCTCGGCCAGGTCAGCATGATTTATACTTCTTCGTGTCTACTGTCTGATGGCAAGAAATTAAAAAGGACGACCAGCTCAAACTCTCTTAGCTCAAGCTGAAAGGTTAGCTAAGAAGTCCTCCATCGAGATAAAAAGGTACCCCGAATGGAAAAGAATGATTACAAAAAAAAACCCAAAACCTTTTGTGAAGAAGAAACTGGCAAAAGTGGAGAAGAAAGACCAAGGCTATAGGAAGAAAATTAAAATTCCATTTGATCCTGTGTATCGTTATTAAGTACCTCCTACGTCTCAGGCCCTGAGAAATCATGTCAAAAGACATCAGGGCAAAGCTATGTTGGAGGGGGCTTCCCTGGTGACGCAGTGGTTGGGAGTCCGCCTGCCGATGCAGGGGACACGGGTTCATGTCCCAGTCCGGGAGGATCCCACATGCCACGGAGCGGCTGGGCCCTCAGCCGTGGCTGAGCCTGTGTGTCCGGAGCCTGTGCTCCGCAACGGGAGAGGCCACAACAGTGAGAGGCCTGCGTACCGCAAAGGGAAGAAAGAGAAAGGAAAAAAAAAAAGCTACATTGGAGAACAAAGAAATTCAAAAGATCTTTAGGAGTATGCAGGAAATAGAAGCATTTGGGCTAAACAGAAATGTCATGTGGAACATTTTACATTAACAAGCTGCTGGTGAAAGCTAAGATAAAGTTTTGGGGTTGGAGAGGAAGCCTCTAGTCATGAAAAGAGTGTGGGTAGGAAGAGAAATAGCAACAGCTGCTCTTTGAAGGCACCAGAGTGAACAACTTTATGAGCCAGTTGGCCAACATTATGAGAAAGAGAGAGTGAGCAAGTGTCATCTACAAAGCGAGTGGATTACACCTTGTTAAAAAGAGAGACAAGGGTCTTGGACTTGGGTTCAGCGCTCTCTGGAACCGCAAAAAGGATGAAACCTGAAGGAGAAGTTCTGGGAAGGGGCAAAACACTTTAAGGCAAAAGAGAAACAAGAACAGAGAAAGAAGAAGCATTTGAGTTTATTACATTGATAAGAGATAAATATATGATGAATGGCACGTTTGTAGAGATATTTGGGGGTTGGGGTGGTGGGAAAATTTAAATGTACAGGTTATAAATATCTCTGATAACAATGTGATATGAATTCTGTGGAGTCTATTCCCAGGGACTTCTAAGAAAATAACAGTTGGTTGTCTCCCCACGATGCTTATGGGCCACCTGCTCGAATATGATCCCTTTCGGTTCTGGGGCTCTAGGCCCCTTCCTGCTTCTACACGGTTTTAGGTGATACACCTGATAGGATGGCATGACTTCTTGGTGAACTACTGGGTGTTCTGCAAAATCTTGACCACTGTCTCCCGTGTGGTCTTGTCCTAGCTCACCAGAGTCCCTGTGGAGTCCTGTGGTCAGTATCAGAGCTGCGGCGAGTGCCTCGGCTCAGGCGATCCCCACTGTGGCTGGTGTGTGCTCCACAACACGTGAGTACTGCTGGGCAGCTTCCTCCTGCCTCCCCCTCCCCCGGTAATTCTCTCCGTCCTCGTCTTCTTCTCTGTCACCACTCTCCTACTGTTTGACCTCTCCCTTCCCTCCCTCTCTTTTCTTACTCTTCCTTCTATGTATCCTTTGTAAATCTATGTATCCTTTGTAAATGTATCCTTTGTAAATCTTATCTCCCTTCTTTTGTTTATCTTATCTTTACCTTCTTTTGTTTATCTTTTGTAAATCTTATCTGCCTTCTTTTGTTCTGACTTCCCTTTAAATTGTCAACTTCCCATAAAAATATATGGAAATGTCAGCATGGGAATGATGAAGGGTCAGGATATGGGAATCACCCTGGATCATTACACACTGGAGGTCTGGAGGGAGATCTCTGGGCATTTCTGGTTGCAATTTGACTGTAGACTGTAGACTGACATTCCAGGGCTAAACAGCAGGAAAAAGGCATTGGACTCCTTTCTTTTTTTTTAAGTTTTTTTTTAATATTTATTAAAATATTTATCTGGACAGTAGGGTCTTAGTTGTGGCACATGGGATCCTGACCAGGGATCAAGCCCGGGGCCCCTACATTGGGAGCACAGAGTCTTAGTCACTGGACCACCAGGGAAATCCCTGGACTCTTTTCTCCAGGCTCACATGGGCCACTAAATCACGTGTGTGATGTCTACTGTCCAGTTAGTGATTTAACAGCCACTTAACAGACTTCAGTATCCCCCCAGAATCTTCTGGTATTTGAGGGGTAAGTTCAAGTGCATAGCACCTAAGAACCCTTCTCCGCAGCCCTAACACTCCTCTGGCTGTCAGAGCACCCTGGGCCCGGGGTCACTAGACCAATGTTTGAAACCCTGGTCCAAGTGTTGGCCGATCCCCCTGTGTGGCTCTTCCTTGCTGGCTCCATTTTACTCTCTAGAAGTGGGAAGAAGGCAATGGTATACAGTGGAGACAAATGGTAGTCTAATAAATGAACTGAGGGGTAGAAGTAGGGTACAGACAACCCCCCAGATGTGAGGGGAGAACAGAAAGCCTTTCTTAGGGGAGCCGAAGACCCTTGGCATTGCTGACTGGAGAAGCCAACAGCAGTTGGGCCCCACCCACTCTGTGGAATTTGGTCCCAGCCAAGCTATGGCTGCGGGAACCCCAGGCTTCTAGTTAACACTTGAAACTTGACACGCTGTGAGTTGGACACAACTATTATAAACTATAAGGAAGGACTTAAGTTTTCTTACTAAGAGCCTGAACTGTATGTGACCAATGGCATTTACCAGTCATTTCCTGCCTCACTCCACCCCAGGAGTGCCTCTGAAAGTTAGACATGCCCTCTTAAATTCTAACACAACCTCTCCAAGGCCCCAGGATGGGCACCCTCCCCTCTCTAGGTGACAGTCTCAGGCATAATGAGACCTAGAGTTCACTAAGGAAAGGTTTGAAATCCCTCGGATATGCTGTGATGGGAAAAAAACGGAGACCCATCAACCTACCCTGAAAAGCAAGTAACTTAGAGATGACCAGAAACTGGGTACCGCAGTGTACCCAAAGCTGTGTATCGTAACAGAGAGCAGTGGCGCCTAAGACTGGCCGCCATACAAGAGGATGGAAGAGATTGCATTCAGAATCCAGGTCAGCTCTGATCAACCCAGAGGAGTTGCCCGGATGATACTTTGCAAGGCAGAGGGGAAGTCGTTTTCTTTGTCCCACACAGTGAGCCCTCTCAGAAAGGGACTGTGCTCCAAATCCATTGCTTCCTTGGGGGCCTTAGGCCAGCTGGCTTTCAGCTTGGCTAAGGATGGCTCAGCTGCTCCTGGCGTGAGGCTCTCACACCTGGCATCATTTAAGGGCAATCAGAAAAGCTGGCCCCCCTCTGACACTCTATGCCTGTGGGACCCAAAGGCCGGTCTCTGTGTCAGCTTTGATCCTGCCTGGTGATGTCGGCCAGCCCCACATAGCACTGAGCCCTGTGAAGAGCAGGGGCCCTGAGGCTCTGAGACGGCGGCAGGGGCGCTGTGCGTACGCCCACCTCCCCTCCCCAGAGCTGAGCTAAACAAGAATGACAGGAGGAGGTACCAGAGATTACTTCCTGCGTGGCCTCAGTTTCCCCTCAGTAATGTGATACCTGCCTCCTGTCAGGCAGCAGAAAACAGGGGTGGACTGGGGTCAAGGTGAAGTGTGGATGGTTCACAAAGGAAGCCATCAGTCTGCACTGGGAAGCCAGCCTCTCTACTCTCAGCGTGGCCTAAAGAAAACAGTCACAGATGTGAACTCTGGGCATCTGCCACCAAGTCCAAATTCCATATTCCCCAGCTGTGCAGCCACCTGAGCCAGCACCCCAGCTCCAGGGTGCTCTGCCAGCTCAAGGTGTGGTTCTCTGTGACCTTGAGCCTCCTGGTTGTGGGATGGGCCTGGTGCTGGGGGCTGTGCTGACATAAAGCCCAACTCCCCCAGGAGGATTCAGCTCACGAGCGCCCTAGGCCAAGGCTGCCCGCCCACCGTGACACTCTGTACATCCATCCTCCCTCCCTCCCTCCCTCCCGGAGTTAATGGCCAGGAGAACCCCCTGGCCCACGTGGCCAGGTGAAGAAGAGTAGATGCCTGGATTTGCTAAGATGCTTGTAGTCAGGATATAAGGTTTAATTTATATGGAGGGAGATAAACTGATGCTCAGCGTACAGTTTGGAAAGTTTTGATAAATGCAAAACCCAAGTAATCCACCCCCCCCATCAAGATGTACAATACTTCTTCATCCAGAAAGTACTCTCATGCCCCTTCCTAATTCTTCCCAATGGGCCTTTCTTTTCCTTTTTTGCTTAAGTTCAAGGCAAAGCCAGACATTGCTTCTCCTATATGTCCAGCTTGCACCCCTTTTCATTTGAGATAGATGCCGACAGGACTTTCATGGCTGAGACTGATGCATGAGGACGTGGGCCCAGCAGGAAGAAGGGCAGGCAGAGGCTGTGTGGGAAGGATGAGGGTGGCCAGAGAGCCTGCAGATGCTCCCCCTGGGGCACCTGAGTTTACTAGGAAGGGAGGGAGGTGAAAAGTGCAGGGGATTTCATCACTTCGGAGGAGCACCATGCCCACACACACACCCCCTGTGCCAGGCACTATGCTAGGCTCAGGGCATACAAGGGGCCTGCATTAGACCTTCTGCCCAGAAGCAAGTTCTTGGGAACCAGGCCTCTGGTCCAGGGATGGGGTGAGGGTTGCAGTCTGTGCTAGAATCAGCATGTTTGTCAGGTCCACGCCACGGACAAGACCCTGTGCTACGTGCTACAGGGCCCAGCCAGCCTGCCCCAGGAAAACTGTGCAAAAGAGCATCAGAAACAGGGTTCCTTGTGGTGTCAAGATACATCCATTTTCTGTCACTTCTGCCAACTTTTCCCATGGTTGTAAGAAGTGAGAGGGTGGGGAATTTTGTGGGAAGAGAATGACAGCAGAAGCTCTGTGTTTGTGTGTGTGTGTGTGTGTGTGTGTGTGTGTGTGGACAGAGAGAGGACAGAAACAGACAGAGCAACAGGAGGAGAGAGAGAGCGTGCATGCAGCTCCAGATGGGGCATCATCCAGCAGGTGGCTCAGGTGGCTGAAAGGGCTGTTTGTACCAGCAAGGGCACAGGTGGGCTGCAGACTGAAGGGGCTTAAGAAATGCTCATGTAATTGAAAGCCTCCCTCCTGTTACTCACCCTCAGTTGTCCTGAGCACAGGCTTGCCAACCCAGTAGCACGGAGGGTCACCCCTGTTGCCCTCTCTTTCAGCCCCGGGCCCCAGCCCACAGGCTTGCTGGCTTCTAATGGTAATGACAGCTTCAACAAACTGTTTATTTGTCCATCACCTTGAGCCTTTGTTTGCAGGGCCATTGGGCCTGAGCCTATTCTGACTTGGGTGAAAGAAAGGAAAGGCTGCAGTGCACCCACAGCCCTGAAGCCCAGCTTTCACCTGTCCTGGGCCTGGAAAGATCCCTCCAACCCCCAGGTACCCAACCCCCTCTCCCTCTTCCCCTCCCGTGCCCAGGCCAAGAAGCCCATCAGTCGCAGCAGGTAACGGGATCCCCCACAGACCTAGTCCCATCGATCGGCCCAGACGTTACCTTTCTTCAGCAGGGTCATCAGCGTCACTCCTGGGAGGCTCATGTAACTCAGGACATTGACAGGCGAAAGATAAGATCAGCTTTTATAAAGTCCTTCCCTCCCCCCTGGGACCCCTCCTCTTTGCAGATTTCTTCTCTTGGAAGGATGCCCTCCCTGGATGGCTTGGCATGGGTCACTGTTCAGGACTCACTTTATTTAGTTTCTGCCAAGATGGAGAGAAGGAAAGGAGAGGAGAGGAGAGGAAAAATGCTGCTACCTACACAGAAGGGATGGGTTAAAACTAAGAACCTGTCTGTGGACAGACCCAGTCTGGACCCAGTTTCCTGCCATAAAATGGCAGTGAAGAGCCATCTTACAGCAACGCCTTGAAAATTAAGGGAGGAATGTGCAGGCAGCCCCCTGGGGGACTAGCTCTGACTTCATTGGCTGTGTAAGCAGAGGCTATGGGTCAGACCCAGGACCTCCTCCGTGGTCCCTGTCCTGTTGCTGTCCTCCCCGGGACTGGAGGGCTGTGATGGGGTGGCTGGGAGAAACCCACCGCTGGGAAGTCTTCCTTCCTAGACAGTCTTCAGCAGCCATGGGTGTGGCTGTCCAACGGCCACCTGGGAAAGGGCAGAGAGAGAAGTTTGTTCCACAGTCACACTAAATGTCCCCTTAATCAAGTCCAAACTGATTCCAAAATGCCAGTCCTTTTGTGCTGCTTCTTAGCATATCCCATAGCCTGGTTTTATGTTTATTTATTGTTTAACCTGTATCCAAGGGCTACTGAATACTCACCCTCTAAGTCAATGATCTCTCCTTGGGCTCTTTGCAGGATGTCTACACAATCGTGAGGAATTGTTCAGATCCACTTCTGCCCGGCAAACTCTTTGCAGTCTATGCTGTGGCCTTCCCTGACTCTT